TATCCCCTGTGTGCCTTGTATTGAATAAATCAGTATGGTCTGCTTTTTAAAACAGGGTTTTGTGGTCACCCATTGCACTGTCCCAGGGGTTGTCTTTCTTCTGGACTCCCCACCATGTCCCCCCTTTTCTTCTAGTGGAGTTTGAGAGTCCTTACCACTTTCCAGTTCCAAGCTGCTGTGGTGGTGGACTTTGGAGGCATCCTCCTGAATGGGTTAATGAAATATAAAAAATAAATAAAATAATGATTATAAAACCATTGAGTTGAGAGTAGGGTGGTGGTGTTCTGCTGGTATAGATGATGCGTATCCTCCAATATGAAACATAAAACAAATGGAAGTTGGATGTCAAAATTACAGTTCACCCCTTCGATTGGAATCTATCATCCTACCCTTACATAGATGTTGGTGCCTAGTGGCCGGGTTTTGATTTTAGAGTAGAACCAAGCAGCATAAGTCCTCACACATGTACTGCAGATGTTTATATTCCTCCCTCATTTATACTCCATCAGTGTTTTGGGTCCTGGTGGATGCAGTTCCAGATTTTTATGGTTCTTTCTCTTCCACTATCCCTCTTAAGTTTTTTATTCTGAGTATGTTAATGCACTTGGGGTGATTCTGGTTAATTTCACTTTTGAAGGAGATGGTTTACATTATGTAGACATCTTTTTGATACTGGATTTCGGGTTTTCGTATTGATCTATCCATTTCTCATATTCACATATGCCCCGTTCATGAGTTGGGGGGTACTAAGGGGTGTTGCAAAATAAATCACTTTTTCCCCCTGAAGTAATGACGAACTTGGTAGGACCATGAATATCATCACTTGTGAGAAAATGTCATTTCAACATACTCTTGGGTGTTTGACTCTTCGTATTTAATTTTTTGCAAAAATTTTGAATCATGGTGCTCACTAGAACTTAGGTTCGTATTACATGTGCTGCCTTCAGGATGGCTCAGAAACTAGTTGAAGACATGCTCTGAGAGTTCAAACCGGAGCATTCATTCAACAATGCACAGAAGAAATGTTGGAAACTTTGCCTGAATGCAAGAGACACAAATGTGAAACCTTGATTCGTGTTCTCACTAATGTTCTCACAGAGACAGCCACAAAAACAGACATGTTTGTTGCATTGCTGAAATCTCTTGCAACTCGATTAAAACTCGTGCATGAGAACAATGGTGGCCCAATCAAACAATATTGATAGTTGGAATTACTTTTTTTGATTGAATTAAAATCTTATTTACTTTGTTATGCTCTCGGGGGAAAAAGTGTTATTTATCTTGCAACACTCCTTAGATTCCCTCCAGTCTCATGAACTTGAGGTGAAGATGGTATGATCCTCTATCCTACCCCTGCCAGATGGCTGGGTTTTGGATTGTAGTTGACATGCCACCAGTATGATCCTCTTTCCTAATCCCACACGGATGTCAGTTCCTGGTGGCCTGGGTTTTAGATTGTAGTCGACTTTCTGGTGGTATGATCCTCTTTCCTATCCCCACATGGATGTCAGTATCCAGCAGCTAGGTTTAGGATTGTAGTTGACTTACCAATGGTATGATCTTCATCCTACCCCCCAAGTGGATGTTGGTTCACAGCAGCATGGGTTTTGGATGTAGTTGACTTGCCGTGTATGGTCTATCGTGCCCTAGGGGCACATCCTTTTAATTTTGCCCACTTTTAGAATTTCTAGGATTGAGTTTCATAAATATTGCATGGTTTGGATCACTTTCAATCCATAGTGCTTTCCCAATTGGATGTGCTTCTCTGTTTTCCACCCATATATGCAACATCTTTCTATGATGGGCGAAGAGTATACTGGTTCAGAAGTGGTGCAGTTCCCCACATCAGATCTTAGAATCTGACTATCTCATTTTAGGGAGTGTCCTTTGATGCCTCTTTCTTTCCCTAGCACTGGTCCCTTCATCTATTCATTGTGGGATTCTAGCCATTTATGTGAGTGGAAGTAATGTACCATATCAGAAGTTATAATTTTCCTACACTGAAAATGCATTTCCGATAGGTACTTACCCTATCTCACACTTCCAACCCTTCCTTCTCACTTAAAATCGGTACTTCCATCTTCTGCCAAAACTTGAAATGATAATTTGGTAGATATAAATAGAGGGAGTGTCATGTGAGTATGTCACATTCTTATTGGTGGAGGGTTGAAGCATGATGATTTGCATGAGAGATGCATTGGAATCAGTCACTTCCAATGGAGGGGAGATAGAAAGTTTGTGGTATGGGTAAAAAATATTTTTGCATTTAGAGGGCAGCACTGAACAAAATAGTAAGTACCTATCAGAAATACATTTTCAGTGTAGGAAAATTATAACTTTTGATATAAACATCTTATACGATTTACACACATAACCACCAGGCTAGTAGTAAATGAAATGCTTTATTATACTGTTCAAAAAAAAGATCTTTTTTCAGTGTTGATGTAATGAAATGGTTTTTTCAATCTGTTTATATAGTCTGTTTTATGTAAATGGCTGTTTAGTATTATCTAAATTTTATTTATTTTATATCCTATCTTTTAATAACATAATTTGTTACATATGTGTTCCTGTACATATTTTGTTGAAAGTTAGAATTGACATAAAAGTGGGATTTTATTACATCAGACTGATTTTCTTGTTAATCTAAAATCAATTAACATATTTAATTCCTGATTGGACTATTGTGTGGAATGTATCTACCGTAGAAGTCTACAATAAAGCACAGTCTTCCATATATAAACTTTAACCTAAAGAAGAACATATTCTATATTTTGTTCTGGAACAACCAGTAAGAATGGTGTTAACATCAAGCTAGAATCATTATTGTTTTTATGCCATTTATACATTTGTCCTACAAACATAAAAGGAAATAGACATATAATGATGGTTTCTTGTGGAGCTTATGTTGTGTTTGAATGTTCAGTAAGAATAAAGAATTTGAAAAGTAATTTAAGAAAATTAAAAGCTTTGAAATTGCTTTTTCTGTTATTGTGTAGAATTAAAATATGTTTCAACATCATTTTAGATGGAGGTGCTTACCTTTTAGAAAGTTTAAACCCAACCCCTCTGTTATTGCCATGCAAAGTTAGAGCAGTTTCTTGTGGTAAAGAACATTCACTTCTTCTCTCAGAAAATGGAACAGTACTCAGTTTTGGGCTTGGAAGGTATTGTGTGTTCTTATTGGCTGCTTCTTTTCCTTATTAAGAAATGTTAGTACTGTAGTAACAGACCATGAAAGATTCTTCTGATTAATTTGTGATATATTTTAAGTTAAATTACAAAACAGTTGACAAACTTACTTGTAAAAAACTAATGCTTATAGATTTAATAACAAACAAACTGCACTATTTTTTCATTCAGTTCTTGTTTAAGTATGCTAATCAATAGACTTTCATTTATATGCAGTTCCTACATAAGATTCCAAATCAAAATAGCTTTGATGCCTGTATGTGGCAATATTAAAGGCAAATAATGAACGGAGGGCAGAAAGAAGATTGTGATAGCTTTGTGAGAGAAAATAGTGGTCCAAATTTGGTGTGGTAAATATAGACTGGTGTGCTGAGCATGGATTTCTTTTATTTTAACATTGCTTGGAAGGCAGAACAAAGATCGTGATAGCTTTGTGTGAGAGAGGGAAAGGCTGCATCAGAATTTATCATACTATTTATTTTTGTAATAAATAACATACTTATTTGTATTCTAGCTCTAGAAAACTACAAAGTGGGAACATGAAAAATGCAAGTTTAAATTGCCCTCTACCTATATGTCCATTACACTCATTCAGCACATGGTTCTTAACACTGAGAAATTATGTAAAATTTAAATTTGCATGTTCTTCTATGTTAACTGGTGACAACCTTGTGGTAAATCCAATATAACCTAAATAACTTTTATATTCATAGACCATATTCAAAATCTTGAACATAGGCATTCAATCTTTATACTGTAGAAATGCTGTAATCTACATTAAGTATTGCTAAAATAAAAAAAATTCATGCTCAGCACACTAGTCTATATACCCTACCAATAGTATTGCACCACCTCAATTGGCACAGCTAGTTCCCTCTGCTATTCCCACTTAAACCTCACTTTCTCGATTGGCACTACATCATTTAGATGTGTGTGACTACTTTTTCTGATTGAGCTTCTTTGCCATTTAAAATTTTTTTTGTTCAACAGTTTTCATTTTCTGTGTTTGCATTCTATTGTTTTAACAATTTTTTTTTGCATTTGTTTATTGTTCCCGATTTCTAATTGAATTTAGTATGAATTTGAGGTTCAATATATTAGATATGGAAGTTTCTATTACCGTTGACAGTGCTACTGGTATGACTTCCCAGAACTCTGGCTTAGTTTATATGCAGAGGTTTACAGGCATTAATTCGCAAGGAGCTAGATTCATATGTTCGGCTGGCAATTTCTTCTCCTTTTCAACCTGACAATGTTTCTGAGGAAGAATACATTGAAGAAGACAATTTGGACTCTCTTTTCCTGGCACCTTCTTATTTTGTTCAGTCACAATCTACACCTCAAGAGATTTTGCCTTCCACCTCTTTCAATTTTACAACTTGTTAAACCGGTATGGGGTAATTTACGTTTCTCCTATTACCTATCATGCCTCCTCTACTTTACTCAATGAAATTCCTTCTGAATTTTGTTTTCCCCCCTTCACCTGAGGGTTTATGCTCAATAATTTTTGGACCAACATGCTTTGCCGCACCATTGCTCTTCAGATCCATTTCGGGTTCTCAACAGTTGAATCCTTTACTTCCCCTTTGTGGTTAGAATCTTGATGTGACTGTTCATTTTAATCAGGCTCAATTCTCAAGGATTCAACTTTTCCCTTTCCTCCCTTTTATGTTACCTGTCTTCCCACCAATTATTGTCAAGGGCCTTTCATCGCTCCCCTGAACTTTTTTCAGATGAGCTTGGTTCTCTCCTTTGTTCTGCTATAGCTCATATATCGGCCTCTTCCTTTCCCTTAATACTTGGCTCATGTTCTATTATGACTTGTTGAGGAGAGATGCATTAATTGTGGAGGTGCATCTCCCCCATTTATCCCCGTGGGATCGGTGTCAGGCCCCCTTCCTATGCAATACTGTATTTGGGGGTCATCCTGATTCCTTGGAATCCAAGATTGATGTGGCTACATTGTATTCTTCCTTGTCTTCTCTGGATACACATTTATCTCCCTTTCCTTCTTCCTGCCATGCATCACCCATCCTTGTTTCCCTCTTCCTTCTTCACCCAGGCCCTTGCCTTCTTTTTGAGGCCCGTACCCTATCTTTGTTATTCCCACACCTAGGCTGACCAATGAAACAGAAGTTTCTAGATCAGTGGGAGCCAGATTGTTCCACTTTTCTGCCATGTGGCAGCATCTCATGACAGGTCTGCTGGTCTATGGGTTCTGTCAAGAGGTCTCTGTTTTCGTTATCAACCCCACCTCCCCTTTTCCATTCCTCTATTTCCTTCCCACCACCATGGGATCCTACATCTTTTGGTCATCTTACCGAGGCTAACCATGACCTGCTTCACAAAGAGGCTATTGAATGGGTGGGCCCTATATAATTGGGGTTTTATGACAGTCTCTTCGTGGTTCCAAAGAAGATAAGAGATTGGAGACCTATCATCGATCTTACCCCCCTCTATACCTTATTCGTTTGGGGTTTTTCTTCAATTCCAACCTCAGTCAAGCCCAGCCTTCTCCTCTTTGTTTTCGGGATATGGAGCAAGCAGTCCACAAGACCCTCATCTTGCATTCTCTCATAGCTCGCAAGGTTCTATCTCTTTTGGGGATGTGGGCTTTCTTGGAGTTTCTCATTCTCATGGGTGGAGCTCCTATATGTTCCCTTCATTGGACACTCCTTGATCAGTGGAACTTCTACTCGTATCCCTTGGACCACCCTGTTCCCCTTCTTTCCCCAATCAGGGTCAACCTGGCTTGGTGGTTAGACCGGGACGAGACTACAGTGGGGGTTCCATATCATCCACCTCCCCTTTTCACTGGCTCATCTTTTTAGAGGGTTGGGTGCTTACCTCGACTCTTGGGAGATTTCCAGTCTTTGGTCAGTCGAGGAGTCCCCTCATCATATCAACATTCTCGCACTTATGATGTTTCATCAAGCTTTGTCCCACTTCCTTCCTCTCCTGTGAGGGAGGGGGGGTTATGATACACTCTTGACAACTTCACAGTGGCCACTTGTATCATCAATCAAGGGGGAACCAAATCCAGGTTTCTGTGCTTTCAGACATTGGATCTACTTTTCTGGACCCACGGTCCCCACATTGTGGTAATAGCTTGCCATGTTCCTGGTGACCTGAATCTTTTTGCAGATCATTTATCTTGACCCAACAAGATTCTCCCCACAGAGTGTTCCTCAATCCACAGGTTTTTTCAGTGGATGTGCTCTCAGTTGGGGACTCCTCATATCAATGCTTTCACCACCCACAGGATCAACAAACTTCCTTCCTTCCTCGTGGTGGCTCCATTTTGGCTGCCACAACCGTGGCTCCTGCTGATCTGACCTTTACTTGTACAACCTCCCCTACTGTCATGGTTTCCTCTCTGTCAACCTTGGTCAGATTTTATTCATCCAGATATCACCACCCTCTATCATCACACATAGCTTTTGTCAGGACCATTGGCTTAGCCCAGGTATTGATTCCACATACTGCATCTTTCCTTTCCAAATCCATATGACCTTCTTCCATGTCCATTTACTAGTGGTGATGGTGTACCTTCTGCCTTTGGTCTCTTCAACATGGTTTCCATCCTTTCCACCCTTCCGTTCCTCATCTTTTTTATTTCTTCACCTGGTTGTTTGACAAAGGCTTGTTCTCTTCAACTGTGTCTAGCTATAAGGCAATCTTGTCGAACACCTTCTGTTTCTCTAAGTTTCATAAGGTTTTGTCTTCCCCTGTCATTTTCCTTCTTTTCTGCTCCTTTTGGGTTGTGCTTCCTCCATGATCCTTTGAATTGCCTGATTGGAATCTTATTGTGGTCCTTTGTGCCCTTTCTCATCCTCCCTTTAAACCTTTGTCTACGTGTTCCATATACCATCTCTCCCTCAAGACCTGTTTCCTTCTCCCTTCTTGTAGATGTCGTCAATCAGACATTTGTGCCATTAATGGTACCTGAATCCTCTACCATTCCTCTTTAGTCATCATATATCAAGACTGGTCCTTCCTTTATAAGTCCTGTTCTGATCGTGAAGGCTATCTGACTTTCACACCCATTTCCTTACCTCTCATCTCTCACCTATACTCCATTCTGATCCAGATCGACTTCTTTGTCTGGTTTGCTCCTTATGGTGTTATGTTGCATGTATTACCTTCTTACCAGGTTCATGTTCCCAACTATTTCTTCCCCTGGAATTCATCCGTTTCCCATGATTTATTCCCTGTCTCACTAACCGGTTGGTTCATCAACTTGTTAGGCTGGCATATTTTGACCTACTCATGGATGGTTGCCATCTAATCAAATTTGTCATGTTTCTAGAAGTCTTTGGCTTCTTGTCTTCACCTTCCTGTGGAGGAGATCATTCAGGTCAGAATGTGGACTACTTCTAATACTTTTGTCGCTCAGTATCTACACAGTCTGGCCATATCTTCTTCAGGTGGATATCGTCTCCTTTCCATGGCAATAGTACACACGTCTATTCATCTTTAAGTGGAGTAAGTCTTATCACGTCATTTAATTTATGATTTCTTTTTAAGAGACCTTCTTTTTTTTTTCACTGCTTATGGGATCCCATTCTGTGATGGGTGTTGTCAGTTATGCTTTGTTTTAAACCCACACTATTTACTGGCAGTGCTATAATGCTCACCATAGAGATGGGGTGTTCCTAAAGACCACTGGTGGCTTGCGCAGTGGTATATACATGGGATTCTCAATATCCATCAGTCTTACTGAGTTGTGGATCATCACTCATGGATTTTCATGAGAAAAACAGGTGTTTTTTGCTCATCCCTGCCGACCCCTTGATTGAATAAAACAGGAATTGTGGATATCCATTGGACTTTTCTTTGGACTCCCCACCTCACTTACTCCCCCCTTTTTCTTAGAGTGAAGCATGGGAGTCCTTACCACTTCCAGTTCCCAGTTGCTGGGGTAGTGAACCATGGAGGCTTCCTCCTGAGTGCATTGTAGACTTTTAACTTTCCA